TACTCTTTTGGCCCAAAATGGCCTATTACATAAATCAACTACTTCCATTGAACAACTATATATGCAAACATTTTATAACTCTTTTGGGTCATATTTGTACTTCACTTACAGCAAATATGATTTTTAAATACATTAAAAGCATTTGAATTTGGAGATCATACCCACCCGTAAAGTAGGCAGGCATATAGGTTAAAATCGATGAGGTTTTTGAGCTGGAAGACCACGCCTTCGCCACGCCCCTGTGTGACCTCACACCCTACCTGATACCTTTGCCACACCCCTATGTGACCTCACACCCTACCTGATACCTTCGCTATGCCCCTGTGTGACCTCACGCTCCTACCAGGCCACACCTGGGTGCTCACCAGCCAATCAGGTTAATTAACCACTCCCCTTTGGAAGTGGGTTAAAAGCCTGGGACATGGTGTGTCTGCCCTTCTCTTTTTCCCCGGCCTCTTGCCAGGAGGGGGCTTGCTGTAGCCCTGCGCCTCCAGGGTGCGTGGCCTTCGGGCCACCCGCCTTAGGCTTCCTGGCCTAGATGCTCCTCCACGTGGCTGGTTCCTGGTGCTCAGTATGAACCTAGGTTTACCTCTCTCTTTCAAATAAAGCTCTCACTCTCTTATGCATCTTTCTCACTAAATAATAGCTTAAAATGTACCATGCTGCCTCGTTTATGGATGCTAGTATTTAGAATTCTTCTCTAAATATTAGGTAAGAACCCTCCCAGGCTTATTAATATTGTGGATTTATTAATATATATGGTGATATCATATGGCGCCCCAGATCCCGGTAGCCTACGTGGCATCCCAGATGGCACTTCTGGGAAACTTTAAGGGCCACATTTTCGTTTAGATTTTAGGGGGTCATCTCCGACATCACCCTCACCCCCCCCATGTAGTTTCTATTTTAAATATCTTCAGATAATAGGATCAAGAAATCTCCCTTGTGCAATAGTCAGCAATCCTGACTGCCAGGACCTTTTCTTGGATATCTGACAAATAAAAAAGAGCATTTGGTTAGCGAACATTAAGTTGGCCTTCAATAATGTACCCCTATTATAAACCTATCAAATGAAAATAGCCAATATCCTGTTGTTTCCTCTAGTTCTTTCTTTTATTTCTCTCTCCTTTCTCTATAATGAATCATGTATACATAGTTGTGGTAAAAAGAAATAAACTTAAAGCATTTTTTTAAGACTTGATTTAGAATGACTGCAAGCAGAATGACAGTGACATGTTTGATTGCTAAAAGTGTTTCCTCCACTGATCTGAAGCAGAAGTCTTGTGTTTTATTCTCAGAGTCTTACAGCATCAAAATGCTAATTACCCTAGCATGGCGTTTCTCAACTTCTGTTGATGCTTTGGACCAGATAATTCTCTGCATACAGCAGAGAGTATGGGTCTGTCCTGTGCAACGTATGATATTTAGCAGTGACTCAGACCTCTACCCATTACATAAGAGTGAAAACTCCCCCTTCTCTAGTCATAACAATAAAACGATCTCCAGATCTGGCCAAATGTCCCCTGAAGAGGCAAAAATGTTTCCACTTGAGAACCACTGCCCCAGAGGCATTATACTGTTCCATTTTTACTCACAAACAAAAGGATTTTAACTTTCCACAAGAGTAATGAACAAGCTTATCATCATCATTTTTATTAATAATAGGATTTGCTCATATTAAATTTACCATCATAACCATTTTTAATGTTTGCAGTTCATTTATTATTTTTTGAGAGATGCAGAGAGAGAGACAGACAGACAGACAGACAGACACCAGTGAGTGAGTGAGCTAACTCCTTTCTAGTGGTTCAGTCCCTAAATACCTGCAATGGGCCAGGATGAACTTGAACAAAGCTGGGAGCTGGGAACTCAATCTAGGCCTCTCACATTGGCAGCAGGATCTCAACCACTTGAGCTGTCACCTGCTGCCTCCTGCGTGTGCATTACCAGGAAACTAGAATCAGGAGCAGAGCCAGGACTCAAATGAAGGCACTCCAACATGAGTGTTTCAACAGGTAATTTTATTATGCTAAACACCTGCACCTTGTTCTCATGTTAAAAACCTATATATGTCCATTGCTAAGAAGGTTGATTCCATGTCTTAGCTATTGTGAATTGAGCTGCAATTAAAAAGGGGGGTGCAGATAACCTTTTTGATTACTGATTTCATTTCTCTTTGGTAAATTCCCAGGAGTGGGATGGCTGTGTCATATGGTAGGTCTATATTCAGATTTTTGAGGTATCTCCATACTGTCTTCCACAGTGGCTTTACCAGTTTACATTACCACTGATATTGCATTAGGGTACCTTTTTCTCCAAATTTGCACCAGCATTTGTTGTTTGTTGATATATATATGAAAGCCATTTTAACTGGGGTGAGGTGAAATTTCATTGTGGTTTTGATTTGCATTTTTCTGATGACTGGTGATCCTGAAAACTTTTTCGTGTGTCTGTTGGCCATTTGGATTTCTTCTTTTGAAAAATATCTGTTTAAGTACTTTGCCTGTTTCTTGACTGCGTTGTTTGTTTTGTTGTGGAGTTTCTTGATTTCTTTGTGTATTCTGGTTATTAATCCTTTATCGGTTTCATTGTATGCAAATAATTTCTCCCATTCTGTCAGTTGCTTCTTCACTTTTCTGAGTGCTCTTTTTGCAGCACAGAAACTTCTCAATTTGATATAATCCCATTTGTTAATTTTGGCTTTAATTGTTTGTGCCTCCAACGTCTTTTTCAAGAACTGTTTGCCGTGCCAATGTCTTACAGGGTTTCCCCAATATTATCTAATAATTTGATGGTGTCAGGTTGTAGATTTAGATCTTTAATCCATGTTGAGTGGATTTTTGTGTAAGGTGTAAGTTAAGGGTCTTGCTTCATATTCTGCATATGGAAATTCAATTTTCCAAGCACCATTTGTAGTAGAGACTGTCCTTGCTTTAGGGACTGGTTTTAGCTCCTTAGTCAAATATAAGTTGGTTGTAGATGCTTGAATTTATTTCTGGCATTTTTATTCTGTTCCATTGTTTTATCCATCTGTTTTTGGTCTGCAGTTCTCTTTCTCTGTTGCATCTTTTTCAGCTTCAGGATTTAGGGTGATGCTTGCTTCATAGAAAGAATTTGTGAGGATTCCCTCCCTTTCAGTTATTTTGAATAACTTGAGAAGAAGTGGAGCTTTCTGCTTTAAGTGTCTGGGAGAATTCAGCAGTGAAGCCATCTGGTTCTGGGCTTTTCTTTGTTGGGAGGGTCTTTATTACAGATTCAATTTCTGCCTTGGTTATGGGTCTGTTTAGGTTTTCTATGCCTTCATGGCTAAATTAGGTAAGTTGTATGTGTCCATGAATCTGTCCATTTCTTCTAGGTTTCCCAATTGGTTGACATACAGCTCTTTGTAGTGATTTCTGATGATTCTTTTTATTTCTGTGGTGTCTATTATTATATTCCTATTTCCCTTTTCATCTCTAATTATATTGATTTTGTTCTTCTCTCTCCTTTTTTGGGGGGTTAGTGGGGCCAATGGTGTGTCAATTTTGTTTGTTTATCAAGAAACCAGCTCTTCGTTTTGCTGATCTTTTTTTGTTTAAATTTTGTTGATTTCTTCTCTAATTTTAATGATTTCTTTTCTCCTACTAGTTTTGGGTTTGGTTTACTATTGTTTTTCTAGATCTTGAAATGCATTGATAGCTCATTTATTTGGTGCCTTTCCAATTTCTTAATATAGGTACCAATTGTTATAAACTTTCCTCTTAATACTGCTTTTGCTGTATCCCATAAGTTTTGATATTTTGTATTGCTATATTCATTTGTTTTCAGAAATTTTTTGATTTTTCTTTTGATTTCTTCTTTGACCCACTATTCATTCAGGAGCATGTTGTTCAGTCTCCAAGTGTTTGCATATGTTCTAGAGATTCCTGAGTTGCTGATTTCCAGCTTCATTCCATTGTAGTCTGAGAAGGGGCATGGTATGATTTTGATTTTTCTGAATTTGCTGAGACTTGCTTTATGTGGTCAGTCATATAGAAAGTTCCATGCACTGGTGAGAAAAATGTGTATTCTGTGGCTTTAGGGTAGAAGACTCTGTAACTATCTGCTAGGCCAATTTGGTCTACACTATTGATTAACTGGGTTGTTTCCTTGCTGATTTTCTAGTTGATCTGTCTATTGCTCAAAGTGGGGTACTAAAATCACTCACTACTATTGTCTGTGACTCCCTTTAGATCCCTTAACATTTCTTTTAAATAGCCAGGTGTCGCTCCCCCTCTTCGTGGAGGAGCAACACTGAACCCTGCGCTGTTCTTTCGTCTGCTCGGCCCTCCCCGGGTTTGCTGCTGGTTCTTCCCGGGTTGGCTACTGTCCCTTCCACCTCCGTGGAAGGGCGGTTCCCCCTGGCCACTTTCCCCACTTCCGCAGGGGAGCGGCACTCCGCCAGCCGGCTCTCTCGGGGGCTGCACAGGTGTTCCCCTTAGATGTTCCCCTTAGATGTTCCTGGTGCATGCCGTCTCTCTCCTCCTTTATAGTCCTCCTCTGCCAATCCCAACTCCACTGCCCACACGCTGAGCACGCTGCTCTCCTCCAATCAGGAGCAAGTCCTACAGTTTATTGGCTGAACTGGAGGCAGCTGTGTAGAAGCTGTTTTCTTCTCTCCCAGCGCCATATTGTGGGAGAGCAGATGCATAGAATAAGTCTTAATTCCAGTAACTCAGTCCAGTCCGGGTTGCTCCCCACAGCCAGGTGCCCTGTAATTAGTGCATATATGCTTATAATAGTGACATCTTCCTGTTGAATTGATCACTTAATCATTACATAGTGACCTTCTTAGTTTCTTTTTAATAGTTTTTGTGTTAAAGTCTGTTTTGTCTGATATTAGGATGGCCACATCAGCTCATTTTGGTTTCTGTTGGCATGTTTCCATCCTTTCACTTTCAGTCTGTGCGTATCTTTGTTGGTGAGATGTGTTTCTTGAAGGCAGCAAATGGATGGGTTTTATTTTTTTAATCCATTCAGCCAGTCTGTGTCTTTTAACTTGGGAGTTGAGGCCATGTACATTCAAGGTGACTATTGATAAATAATGACATTGCCCTGCCATTTTTCCAAAAATATTCCTATTTTTACTTTGGATTTCCTTTGTACTTTTAATGGGAGATTTTCTTCCTTTACTTTCTTTTGTAGTGATGACCATGTTTCTGTGTTTCTGTTTGCAGCACATCCTTAAGCATCTTGCAGGGCTGGATGTGTGAGGACAAATTTTTTCAATTTCTGTTTGTTATGGAAGGTCTTTATTTTACCTTCATTCATAAATGAGAGCTTTGCAGGGTTTAGTATTCCGGATTTACTGTTTTTTTTTTTCTTTTAAGACTTGGAATATATCTTGCCATTCTCCCCTAGCCTGTAGGGTTTCTGATGAGAAATCTGCTGTGAGTCTAATTGGAGATTCTCTGAAAGTAATCTGGTCTTTCTCTCATGCACATTTTGGAATCTTTTTGTTTGTTTGTTTTACTGTGGTGTTTTATTACAATGTGTTATGGCAAAGATCTTTTCTGGTCATGTCTATTAGGGATTCTATGTGCTTCCTGTACTTGGACGTCCCTTTCTTTCTCCAAATTAGGGAAGTTTTCTGTTATTGTTTCACTTAAAAGGCCTTCTCATCCTTTCTCTCTTTCCATGCCTTCAGGAACTCCTAGAACCCATATGTTGGGTCATTTGATAGTATCCTATAGATTCACAACAGTATTTTTTAGTTTTCTAGTTTCTTCTTCTTGTTTGCGGTCTGACTGTATAATTTCCTGTGCTTTGTCTTCTAAGTCCGATATTCTTACTTCTGCTTCACCAATTCCATCGTTAAGGCTTTGCACTGGATTTTTTATTTGTTCTATTGAATTCATCATTTCATTTTGATTTCTCTTTAAGATCTCAATTTTGTGGGAGAAATTTTCTTTCATGTCATGTACGGATTTCAGTAGTTCATGCATTTGCCTCTGATTACTTCTACACAATCTTATGATCTATTTTTTGAATTCAATTTCTGGCATTTCTTAAATTTCATCTTTACAATCTAGTATTGAAGTGCTGTGTTCTTTTGGAGGTGTCATGTTGTTTTCTTAATTCTTATTTTTTGAATTGGTGTGTTTGTTCCTCAGCATTTGTTGAGATAATCATTGGTTTCTTCTGTGTGTGTGTGTGTGTGTGTGTTTGCTGTGGTGGCTTTTATCTTTATTCTTCTATGCCTCTGTAGATTAGTGTACTATCTGCATTCAGTGAATATCTAGAGGCATGTGGTGGGTGTGGCCAGGGAGCTCTGTTCAGTTCTCCAGAGTGAAGGGCATGTTTAAGGTGACACACCCTGGTTTGTTTCAGTAAATCTCTCTCTCTCTTTTTTTTTTTAATCAGAAGGGAGGTTTATTCTGCCCAACTGAGTTCCTCTACTCAAAGGAGGCCAGTGCCTGAGCGCTAGCCCCAGTGGGTATATTCGTCTGCTCTGCCACAGGAACCACACAAAGGATCTGTGCCGTCCTCAGTGTAAGCTCAGATTCCCCAGCAGTGTCCCTTACCAGGTAACCAGGGAGCCCTGAGCATGTGGAGTTTACCAAAGGGACTGCCCAAAGTCCCAGCCACACCCTGAGTCCTCCCACACAGCTTCAGTTTTTTCACAGTCTCAGCACACAGGCCTCCCACAGTCACAATCACCCAGCCCCTGTCTGTTCTCCCCACCAGACTCAGGAGTCTCCACTTGGCTGGTTGCTGGGCGTGGACATGAGCTCATGCAGCTGTTAGGTATGTCCAAAATGGCACCTGCTCTATAGGCTTGTTACGGGATGCTGTTGCAGGGTGATCGGGGAGGGAGAAATGGGCCCCTCCTTTTTTTTTTCTCCTCTAGTTGGTAGGTACACTATCCCCCATGGGGCTCCAAACCAGGTTCCCTCTAGGCTCTTCCTGCAGCTGGTTGGGCTGCTGCAGTGTGGTCTCACCTCACTCTCCAACACTGGTGCAGCAGCTCTCAGCTGCCTGGGTCCTGAGTTGTGGGTGTCCATGTAGTTCCACCATATCCTTCTAATTTGCATAGAATTTCCTCTGCTGTTTTCTCCCTAACTCTTCCCTGAGACTGCACTCTCTCTGCTTTTTTTAAGCTTTCTCCTCCTAGAGTAAAACAGTAAGCTCCCTCCCTATTCTGCTATTTTGCGCTTACTCTTACATTTTCAATTTCACCTATTCATATAGCCTTCTAATATCAGTTTACATTTTTTATCAGTTCACATTTTAATGAACTTGAATCCTTCATTTATTCATTATTCTGAATAAGCACAAATGAAAGTGACATAATTTGTACTCCATGCAATCATAGCCATAACTTCAAATATATTTTTAAAAAGATTTATTTATTTGTTTGTTTTTGAAATTTAGATTTACAGAGAGAGTGGGAGAAACAAAGATGGAAATCTATCCTCTCATTCACTCCCCAGGTGGCCACAATGGCTGGATCTGGGTCAGGCTGAAACCTGGAATTTCTTCCGGTTTCTCACTTGGGTGGCAGAGGCCCAAATACTTGGGCTATCTTTTGCTGCTTTGCCTAGGCCATTATCAGGGAGCTGAATGGGAAGTGGAGCAGCTGGAATGTTAACTGGCTCCCATATAGTACGCTCATATCACAGGCAGCAGCCTTACCTACTTTGCCATAACACCAGCCCCCAAATGCAATCTTTTATACCTATATGTCATGGCAGTACTTAGGTCTCTGTTATCACCAGAGTGACCTATAATATACTTACATTAATTAATTTTAAAACATTTTCATAAAAATATTTAAATATCACAGAGAAATCTTCCATAAAAATGTGTATAGGATATACATGGATTCCAGTTTTGAGTACCACTAGTAGGTATCACTCATTTGACAATAGATTCTATCAAGTCTGATATTATCTGTTACATTGTGGCCTATACATTAGTGTTAGGAATTTTGCATGCTCAGTGAGCATTTATTTCTGAAAATTGATTGATTTTACTTATTTAAAATGTAGGTGCATGCTCGCACACATGCATGCACACACACACTCACACACAATCTGTCATCCAATGGTTCATTCCACAGATGTCTGTAAAAGCTATGGCCACACTAAAGCCAGGAGCCAGGAACTCAATCCACAACTCCCATGTGGTTGGCCTGCACCCAACTACTTGAGCTATCACCTACTGCCTCCCAAGATATTTTTTGCAGGAAGCTGGAATTGGGAACTGGGAGAGGGGCTGGGACTCAAATCCTGGCACTCTAATATGAAATGCAGGCATTCTAAACTGTGTCCTAACAACGACACCAAATGTTCACCCAGGAGATTTGGTTCTTCGACACTTTATCTGGATCTTTATCTAATACTTGTGGATTAAATGATGGTCAAGATTCTCTTCAGTGAGTAGACTGCCTTTGATATACATAGAATGCTAAGATTCAAGTTTTGTTTTATCTCCAGTTGTGAAAATGGAGACTTTCATACTGCCATAAAAATGCTATTAAGATGCTCTAGTGAATATTCCCTGAATACTAAGGATTGAAAGCTTTTATTTGCAGCATGGGAATATGAACTTGGCTCATTTAATTCTACCACAGCCTGATAAGGAAGGTTCTGTCGCTGTTTCCACTTTTAGTGCTTAGGAAAGCATGAGAGCACTGAACCTCAGAGAAAGTCAGCAACTGGTCTAAAATACAGCAGAGTTGGGATTTGAACTCAGGCAGATTGGCTGTGCACCAGGACACTGGACCCCCTGTCTACACTCAGGAGAATCCTGGGAGGATCTTGGATATCCTTGATCCATTTGCCTCCTGAGTTCCCCAATTTGCTCTTTAGCTAATTACTCTGCTTGGAATGCCTGTTACATAAACATACTCACAAAGAAACTTCATCTTGGGCCCAAGAAGGTCCGTAAAGAAATTCTTTTTTCCATAGTGTTTTAGTAGGTTTATTTGTACTTTGGGATTTGTGATCTGTTTTTTTTTTTTTTTTTTTAATGGCTTGATTTTGGTAGCTGTGGCATGCTATTGATATGCAAGGAACAATAGCATATTTACTTGAAGAGAATGTTTTTATGGTAAAGAAAGAGATGATTCTGGTTTCCTTTGGTACTAAAAACTTACCATTCCTGCTTAAGGCACCCAAGGAGAGGAACTGCTTCTCCTTCATTCTGTACATTAACCCAGATGGAGCCAGGGAGATTCACAAGCCATTTGGATTTAATTAGATAGTGTCCTGCATGGATATGCTAGTGGCAGCATTATCATAGGAAATTAGTTTTAATGGAAAGAGCCTTACTTTGGAATCAGGAACTCTGGTTTCTCTCTGGCTTCTGTCACTGACGGACCTCCCACTTGACATTTTTCTTTTATCAAAGAAAAGAACATCTTTTCAATGGGTTTTACTTTGGCAATCAGATACTAATTCCTTTGGAAATGTTTTTAAAAGTACATACCACTATACAGCAAATATAAAATATCCTTTATTATTATTATTATTATTATTACAGTACTGCAGAATTTAAACTATGGTATTTTAAACAATTTCTCTGATGATGTGATAATTAACCCTTTCTATATGTGACAACTTGATTGAAACTCAGATGGGGAACATGTTCTTTCACAGCTTTAGTTTTAAAATCCAGTCTCTGTATCACTTTGTTCAGATGGAAACCCTGGGTCTTGCAATAATAGTCTGCCTTTATCTGCAAATCATCCCTCATTTTCTTATTTCCTCAAGTTTCAGAAGTTACAATAGTCAGGCATGGTTCTTCAGTGATTGCAGGAATTCAGAGTTCTTACTGATTCTATATGGGGGTGAAAACTAGAAACAAGTTCCAATAGAGAAAAAAAAATCTACATAGAGCTTTTGGAGCTCCCCAGCCACAGCTTCTAGAAGGGGGAACTCCAGCTAGAAAAAACAGCAGCAGTATGCAGGTCTCTAATTTTGGCCCCTCTTTGGAAATGTTATGACTGCACAGAATTTACTGTTCTTGTTTCATGGCCAAATATTTGAAAGTCACAAAAATGAGTGTGTTCTTGAAAAGCATCAACTTTTCATTAGGTAGCTCAAGGTAGGAGGTGAAAAAAGATTTTAAATCTCTACTTACATTAGATCCAAATGCCAACCTTGGTCCTTTGGGAAGTCAGAGGCAGATAGACACAACTACAAGCAAAACGGAAAACAAACTAAAAGAGCATGTAACCACTGAAAACCTAGAAACATGTTGGCTAAACCTACTTTCCCTGGCTCCTGACTCTGGCCTGGCGCAGCCCTAGCCTTGCTCAGCCTTGGCCCTGGCAGCCATCTGGAGAGTAAACCAGCAAATGGAAGATTGATTCTCTCTCTCTCTTTCACTCACTCTTGCTCTCATTCTTGCTCTCTCTTTCTGTAACTCAGACTTTCAAATTAATAAATGAATCTTTTATAAAACTTTATTTAAGTTATACAAGTTTAATATATTTCATAAATACAGATTTAGGAACATAGTGACACTCCCTCCCCCGCCCATGCTACAACCCTTCCTCCTCTTCTTGCATTCCCAATATTAATTTTTACAAAGATCTATTTTCAGTATACTTTCAGTAAACACATGTACAAACTGATGAACAAAAACCATATGGTTATCACAACAGATGAAAAGAAAGCATTTGATAAAATACAACATCCTGGGGCTGGCACTGTGGCATAGCGGGTAAAGCTGCCATCTGCAGCGCCCGGCATCCCATGTGGGCACCAGTTCATCAGCAGAATGGAAGACCTCACTTTCTCTCTGCCTCTGCATCTCTGTAACTCTAACTTTCAGATAAATTAATGAATCTTAAAAAAATACAACATCCTTTCATGATGAAAACCTTAAGCAAATTAGGTATAGAAGGAACAACACAATCAAGGCAATTTATGACAAACCCACGGCCAGTGTCTTATTGAATAGGAAAAAGCTGGAAGCATTCCTCCTAAGGTCTGGAACCAGACAAGGATGCCCACTTTCAACTTTGCTATTTAATATAGTCTTGGAAGTTTTGCCAGAGCCATTAGGTGAGAAAAAGAAATCAAAGGGATACAAATTGGAAAGGAGGAAATCAAACTATCCTTATTTGCAGACGACATGATTCTGTATATATGGGGTCCGAAAGACTCCACCAAGAGGCTACTGGAACTCATAAAAGAATTGGTGAAGTGACTGGTAAATTCCCAGGAGTGGGATGGCTGGATCATATGGTAGGTGTATATTCAGATTTTTGAGGTATCTCCAAGAAAGAAAGAGAGAAAGAAAGAAAGAGGGGGGAGGGAGTGAGGGAGGAAGGAAGGAAAGAAGGAAGGAAGAAAAGGAAAGAAGATAATGACAGAGACAGCCAGAAATCTTCCATTTACTGATTGACTCCTCAAATGCCCGCAACAACTAGAGATGGGTCAAATTGGAACCAGGAGCCTGGAACTCAATCAGGGTCTTCCACACGGGTGGCAGGGACTCATTTACTTGAGCCATTGCTAATGCCTCGTGGTATGCATTAGCAGAAAGCTGACATCAGAAGCAGACTCAGGACTGAAACTCAAGCACTCTAATATGGGATGCAGACATTCCAAGCTACAGTCCAACTGCTGAATCAAATGCCTACCTCTTGATTGATTGATTGACTGACTGATTGACTTAGAGGAAGGAAAGACGTGATTATGAATAGGAGTAGAGAATTTTTTGAGCTTCCTTAATATTTGTACCCATTCCAGGTAACTACTGCTCATGGATAGAAAATATATTACCTCAAGAAGAACAGAACATAAGCTATTAAAATATTTGCATCCATGAGAGCAGGATGAATCCTGATTTTTTAATACTGTTTTTGATTAGCACAGCTGGTTGTTATAGGAGAAAAAAAGTCATATCTTTTTATCACCCAGTGCAAGATTCATGGCTAACTCTTTTATACAAAATACAGATTTTGGCCGGCACTGCGGCTCAACAGGCTAATCCTCCACCTAGCAGCGCCGGCACACTGGGTTTTAGTCCCGGTCGGGGCGCTGGATTCTGTCCCGGTTGCCCCTCTTCCAGGCCAGCTCTCTGCTGTGGCCCGGGAGTGCAGTGGAGGATGGCCCAAGTCCTTGGGCCCTGCACCCCATGGGAGACCAGGAGAAGCACCTGGCTCCTGCCTTCGGATCAGCGCGGTGCGCTGGCTGCAGCGCGCCAGCCGTGGCGGCCATTGGAGGGTGAACCAACGGCAAAAGGAAGACCTTTCTCTCTGTCTCTCTCACTCTCTCACTATCCACTCTGCCTGTCAAAAAAAATACAGATTTTAATAAAAACAAAGTATAATAAATTTATTTAGGCAAAATATTATATAGCATCGTGGCCTTCAGAAATGAAAATCCAAGGATCAGGGGGAAATTGTTTATTTGCATGCTTAGGCTTGATGAAGAATGGGCAGTCCTTTAGAAGGATTTTACAAAAAGAGGCTGTGATCTAATGGTTGAGAACTGCAGTGAAATGACCAAGCCCTGTGTGTTCAGACCCTTCTTGGCCTCTCCGTGTCACATTATGTCCTTCTGGGTTTGGGGCTGGACACCTGTCACATGAGGGTCTTCAAAAGACAGAGGAGCAAGAGAAAATCCTGTGCTTCTCCCAGTTTCCTTTAGCTTAAAATACTCAGTATGTCAAGGAGTAATAGCTTAGCATGGTAGTTTCTGTACCCCGTTCTTGTATTATTGTTCTTATTTATTTACTTTTTACTGAGAAAGCTTTTATTTAAGGTATACAAACTTCATGAGTTTCATATATACAAATTTAGGAACATAGTGATTCTTTCTATACTCCCTTCCCTCCCACCTGCACTCCCACCCTTCTTCCTCCTCCCTCTTCTATTCCCATTCTTATTTTTTACAAAGATCTATTTTCAATTAACTTTATACACATAAGATTAACCCTATCCTATGTAAAGAATTCAACAAATAGTATGAAAAAAGAAAATACTGTTTCTCAACAGTTATGACAAGGGCTGTTCAAAATCATCACATCTCAAAGTATCAATTTCACTTCTATAGATTACCTTTAGGTACTCTATTAGTTACCACAGATCAGGGAGAACATACAGTATTTGTCTTTTGGGACTGGCATATTTCACTAAGTGTAATGGTTTCCAGTTGTATCCATTTTGTTGCAAACAACAGGCTTTCATTTTTTTTTGTACTGCTATGCAGTATTCCATGGTGTATATATACCATAATTTCTTTATCCAGTCAGCAGTTGACAGACATCTGGTTTGATTCCATATCTTAGCTGTTGTGAATTAAGCTGCAATAAACAGTGGGGTACAGATAACTCTTTCAAATGCTGATTTCATTTCCTTTGGATAAATTTATTGCCCAAAATTCAGCTGAACTACTAGTTTAAGACTTGATCCTAAGTGGGATTTTAAAAATGTTAGTTTGAATCCTGGTTTGAAAGTCAAGAATTGTATGATGTAAATATATTTTTGAAATCCAAATACCAGCTATCCTTTAAAAACAAACACAAAACTCGAAATGCCACCAGTTCAGGCAACTTCAGCACAAGTTTATTAAGCCCTGCTTAGAAAGCTGTAAAAGAGATATTAGTAAAAATAAAGTCTATTTTTCAGAAGCATACAACCAAACCGTAACAAAGTACAGTGAATTCTCTTCATACACAGCACTGCTGGCCATTAGATATGCATTGTTTAAAGTACACTCTTTTTGTTGTTTGTGTTTTTGACAGGCAGACTGGACAGTGAGAGAGACAGAGAGAAAGGTCTTCCTTTTGCCGTTGGTTCACCCTCCAATGGCCACCGCGGCCGGCATGCTGCGGCCGGCACACCGCGCTGATCCGAAGGCAGGAGCCAGGTGCTTCTCCTGGTCTCCCATGGGGTGCAGGGCCCAAGGACTTGGGCCATCCTCCACTGCACTCCCTGGCCACAGCAGAGAGCTGGCCTAGAAGAGGGGCAACTGGGACAGAATCCGGAGCCCCAACAGGGACTAGAACCTGGTGTGCCGGCGCCGCAAGGTGGAGGATTAGCCTATTGAGCCGTGATGCTGGCCTAAGGTACACTCTTAAGGTTACCCCATTCTGAAGGAATTCTGAATCTTTAGTTACCTTTGAAATATTTTACAGCTCTGTAAGTTGTATATATCTGGTAGCAATGCAAAAGCAGTTTTTATCTACATACAAGTAAATAAATTCTGTCTAGTGGAGGTTCAACAACTTCTCTCTCCTGCTATGGAAGCAATTTTATGTTCATTTGCAAATTCATTCCAATATTCCTGATTTATAACCATGTTTGTTTTTTGGATATGCTTTTGAACTGGTGTAACTTCCTCAGAGTTTCCTCATTAATTTAATAAAGTAAATAAAATCTTTGACATTTGTTTAAAAATGATCATTAAATGTGAGTTTGGGTTCAAGCATGGGTTCCAGAACTAGATTGCCTTAGCAACTATGTAGCATTAGGCAAAATACTTAACTTCTCTGTTAATAATATTTGCCTTAGGGGGCCAGCACTGTGGCATAGCTGATAAAGCTGCCACCTACAGTGCCAGCATCCCATGTGGGTGCCAGTGTGAGACCCAGCTGCTCTACTTCCGATCCAGCTCTCTGCTATGGCCTGGGAAAGCAGTACAAGATGGACCAAGTGCTTGGACCCCTGTATCTTCATGGGAGACCCAGAAGAAGCTCCTAGCTCTTGGCTTCAGATTGGCCCAGCTCTGGCTATTGTGGCCCTTTGGGGACTGATCGAGCAGATGGAAGATCTCTTTCTGCCTCTGCCTCTTCCTCTGCCTCTCTGTAGCTCTGCCTTTCAAACAAAGAAACAAATCTTTAAAAAAATCTGACTTATTAGATTGGCATGGGGATTATGTGACAAGTTATGACAAGTTACCCTTTTTTTAAACTTTTATTTAGTAAATATAATTTTCCAAAGCACAGTTTATGGATTACAATGGCTTCCCCCCCCATAACTTCCTTCCCACCCATCCCCCTCCCATCTCCCACTCCCTCTCCCATTCCATTCACATCAAGATTCATTTTCAATTATCTTTATATACAGAAGATCAATTTAGTATATGTTAAGTAAAGATGTCATCAGTTTACACCCGTACAGAACATAAAGTGTAAAATACTGTTTCAGTACTAGTTATAGCATTAATTCACATTGGACAACACATTAAGGACAGAGATCCCACATAAGGAGTAAGTACACAGTGACTCCTGTTGTTGACTTAACAATTTGACACTCTTGTTTATGGTGTCAGAAATCTCCCTAGGCTCTAGTCATGAGTTTCCAAGGCTATGGAAGCCTCTTGAGTTCGCTGACTTCGATCTTATTTAGACAAGGTCATAGTCAAAGTAGAAATTCTCTCCTCCCTTCAGAGAAAGGTACCTCCTTCTTTGATGACCCATTGTTTCTACTGGGATCTCACCCGCAGAGACCTTTCATTTAGGGTTTTTTTTTTTTTTTTTTTTGCCAGAGTGTCTTGGCTTTCCATGCCTGAAATACTCTCATGGGCTCTTCAGCCAGATCCGAGTGCCTTAAGGGCTGATTCTGAGGCCAGAGTGCTATTTAGGACATCTGCCATTCTATGAGTCTGCTGTGTATCTCACTTCCCATGTTGGATCGTTCTCTCCCTTTTTGATTCTATCAGTTAGTATTAGCAGACACTAGTCTTGTTTGTGTGATCCCTTTGACTCTTAGTCGTAAAGATGTATTTATTTGAAAATCAGAGTTACACATAGAGAGGAGAGGCAGAGAGAAAGAGAGAGAGAGAGAGAGAGAGAGAGAGAGAGGGAGGTCTTCTATCTGCTGATTCACTCCCTAATTGGCCACAACAGCTGGAGCTGTGCTGATCCAAAGCCAGGAGCATCTTCCGGGTCTCCCATGCAGGTGTATGGGCCCAAGGACTTGGGGCCATCTTCCACTGCTTTCCTAGGCCATAACAGAGAGGTGGATTGGAAGTGGAGCAGCCGGGACTCGAACTGGTGTCTATATGGGAGGCTGGCACTGCAGGTGGTGTCTGTACCTGCTATGCCACAGCGCTGGCCCCAACAAGTTACTTCTATTCTAAAACCTACAAGCATTCAATAAATATTTTAGTTTTGTTTGTAGTAGAACCAGTGCATGGAGCCACTAATGTGTAACTGCAATAAAGTGGATCCATTCAATCAGCATCCTAGTAGGTGCAGCATGACTTCTCCTTTTGTGCAACTCTGACCTCTACAGTTCCTGTCCCATGACTTCTAACTCAACCACCTAAATAGGTCAGAAATGTTTTCAAAAGCCACATAAATGAAATAGGCTCATGACTTACAAATTCCCATGGAGCATATTTAATATGCAAAGGTTAATCAGTGGGTAATCTTTGCAATCATGTTTGTGCAGGAAAACACCCATAATTGTCAATTTCATGCATTTCCTCTCTAAATAAGTTTTTCTAAAGTCCTTCCTCTAAAATGCAGTCCTCATCTAGAGCACATTAAGTACCAATCAGTTCTTTTGCAACAGATTAGGAACACAGGCTGTCCCCAAAAGCTTAGTAATTCTTAGCCTTAATGCTAGCTCAGATCATGAATATAATTAATTCCTCCTGCACTTATACTTTTCCTTTTACATTTAGAAATATTTCAAGAAGCCTCTGTTATTCTTTGGAAACTGGAATAAATCATTTTTATATGGGTAAAGCGTCAGGAGACAAAGCTGAACATATTAGTGTGTGTCACTGCGTGCCACGTATGTGAAAGCATGCCATGTACTTCAATTCCAGTAGCAGTTCCTTTGAAAATCCTTTAGAGATTAAGATCTCTGAATTTTAGGAGATTTATTATCAATCTTCTTAACTTCTGGAATAAAATTATTTCACTTATCCAACTTAAACGCTCCCCACTCATACAGTCCATGCTATCGTATGTACAAGTAGTGCTTGCTAAGACACATGAGAGTCTCGGTATGCTCCATGTGCATGTAATTCCAGGGTTCCGGTACAGTGTGCCTCTTGGAGATTCATAACATTAATTACTGAAGGTTCTGAGAACACTGATGGTAGGAAACCGGCTCTAGTTTGTTTCATCTATGTTTACCCTCATCTCTCTTCTACCACCTTCCTATAGTCACATTTGCCTTTTTGCATTCCCTTCCCATGGAGCCTTATGAACATCTCCCCACCAGATCCACAGTGGCTCTCAGCTCTGCTGTCTTTGGAATCTCATTCGCTAGTGCTGTAGTTTGAACATGATTTAGCTCTTCAACTCACACAGACATTTGATTCCCAGTGTCGTAAGTCCATGGTCCTGGGAGGGTAGAGACCTGATCCAGTTATGATGATTGTGGCAGACTTAGGTTATCAGGACTAAGTCCTCAGAAGGTAGTTGCCATGAGAGGGTTGTTAGGAAGCCCGAGTTGCAGCCAGCTGCAATGTCTGCTTCCTAGCTTGCCATGTGATTCTTTTTCCTCACTCCAGCCTCAGCAAATGTTGAAACCCAGGGGCCCAGCTGACCTTAGACTGTGAACTTCCAAGTCTGTGAGCCAAAATAAACCTCTTGCCCTCATAAATAGCTTCTCTTGGGTATTGTTATAGTAATGAAAAGCTGACATCTAGAAAATGGATATAACCATTACTAAAACTGAGGCAGCTTTGGAATTGGTAAACTGGCTTCAGAATTGGTTAACTGGCAGAGATGTTGGAAGGGTTTGGAAGGTGAAGCCAGGAAAAGCCTAGAATGCTTTGAGCAGAACAGTACGGGTGACTCTGCTGAGGTGTCGGAATATCACGATGCTGGTAGACTGCGGGCAGTGTTCAGACGGCAGTGGGATTCTACTGGGAACTGGACCTCAGGGCCCCCTCGTTACCTCATAGCAAGGAATCTGACTTTCTTGTGCCTTGTCCTGGTATGTTACGGGAGGCTGACCCAAAGGATGGTGGACTGGTTTTTGGCAGAGGAGAACTCAAGGCAACAAGGTATTAGGGTTGTATGAAGGGTATTATGGGCTGCTGTAAATAATTTTTACAGTGAAAGTCAGGAGCAAAGAGGAAAAGAGTGGAGAGGTTTGAAAAATCAAACTTGGCAAGGGAGGAAAGGAAGAAAGTGGTTTTTCAGGATAGGAAAGTGAGATGGAGAAACCACTTGCTAAAGAGATTAGAGCAGCTAGAAGGGATCCAGGTGCTAATGGGCAAAGCAGTGGGAGAAACGTCTGGAAAGGCGTTCCCTCCCACCGCAGGCCCAGAAGCCTCAAAGGGCAGAAATGCTTCTTGAAACCCCAGGGCATTTTGAGGGAGCTCAGTCAACACCATGTTGGAATTCGTTCACTGCCTTCAGCTGGTGGAGCACTTCAGTGCTGCACTGGGGGCTCAAGTAGGCTCGGGTGTGGCTTCGGCTGCACCAGACCTTGGCCCTGGTGTTCACATGCTGCTGCCTTTACAGGTGTGAAGAATGCAAGCATTATGAGGTCATGGTGGCTTCCACTGAGATTTCGAATGAAAGCCTGGGAGACAGCGCTCCAGGGTTGGAGCCCCTGAATGGAGCCTCAGATGGGCGATGTGAAGTGGAGCTGTGAGAGGGAGGCCACAGTGGAGATGCTAGAAAGCTGGTTAGTGGCAACGTGAGACACCCACTGAGATAAAGCTGTCAACAGCGTTCCACGTAAGCCCGGGAAAGTTACGGGCCTCAGAAGTCATGTGTGCAATGGTGGCAGCATGGGAAGTTCCACCTAAATTTCAAAGACTGTCTTCGACGAGTAGAGGAGGGGTCCAGACAGAGACTGATCATACAGGTGGAGTCAGAAAATTCCAGTAGGGCAATGTCATGCTGGATGTGAGGTCAGAGTTGTTGCAGTGTCCCCATCAGGGCAATGCCTAGTGGAAACAGACTCCAACCCGTGAGAGCTGAAGCATGAACTGTGACCAGTAAAGCTGTAGAAGCAGAGCTACTCCAAGCCTTTGGGAGTGTGGCCCAGATGTTGGGCATGGGGCTTTAGGATTTCATGTTTGTCTTGCTAGAGTTCAGTCTTGCTTGGGTCCAGTAAATTCTTTCTATTTATTTTCTGTCTTCCCATTTTGGAATGGAAATGTAGCTCTGTGCTGTCCCCACATTGTATCTTTATCCTACAATTATGTCTTTTTTTTTTTTTTTTTTTCAATAATTATCTTGTACAACGTGCTATAAACGGCGAAGTGGAGGAGTGAGAGAGACAGAGAAAGCTCTTTCTTTTTTCCATTGGTTCACCCCACAATGGCCGCTGCGGCCGGCACACCACTCTGATCTGAAGCCAGGAGCCAGGTGCTTCTCCTGGTCTCCCATGCGGGTGCAGGGCCCAAGCACTTGGGCCATCCTCCACTACACTCCAGGACCATAGCAGAGAGCTGGCCTAGAAGAGGGGCAACCGGGACAGAATCTGGAGCCCCGACTGGGACTAGAACCCAGGGTGCCGGCGCCACAGGCGGAAGATTAGCCTATTGAGCCGCGGTGCCAGCACAATTATGTCTTAAAGTTAGGCCACTAGTTTTTGATTTCACACTAAGGGAGTTTGCCTTGAGTCTCAGATGAGACTTTGGACTTCAGGCTTTTGAACTAGTGTTGGACTGAGTTAAGAGTTTGGAACTGTTGGGGATGCACTAATTGTATATTGTATGTGACAAGGACTTAAGTTTTAGGGAGCCAGGAGGTGGAATGTGATGGTTTGAACATGATTTAGCTCCCCAGTCCATGCAGTTGTTAACTGAAAGCATAGGGCAACCCATGATTCTGGCCATACCCTAAGGCTGAGGGCTACTGTCAGGGCAGATATTGAGTTTTGTTTTCTACATCGAACTTTGTTCTAATTTATTTTTAGAAGTGTTTTTAGTTCTATAAAGGGATATATATTATATATATATATATATATTTACCATCCTACCCTCCTCCCTTCACCCCCTCCCTTTTTTTACACTGACATTCAATTTAGCTTAATCTTTTAATATTTTTATAATTCTTTATAAGGGGAATAAGGTTCATGTATTTTGTTTATACATGTATCCTTTGCTGCCACCCTCCTTTCTCCTTCCTTTATTTTAATTTTTTCAATGAAATACTTTGCATTTACTTTATAATCACAAGCTTAGCCCTCCAATAGGAGAGTTAACAGTGAAAGAAAGGGTTTCCAAGAGATCTCCCAGGCTTCCCCTCCCGTCACAAGCCCAGAAGCCTCAAAGGGCAGAATCGTTTGTTAAAACCCCAGAGCATTTTGAGGGAGCTCGGTCAACACCATGTTGGAATCCGTTCACTGCCTTCAGCTGGTCAGGCACTCATGACTCAGTGGGGGCTCAAGTAGGCTCCGGTGTGGCTTCAGCTGTGGCAGACCTTGGCCCTGGTGTCCACTTGACGCTGCCTTTACAGGTGTGAAGAAAGCAAATAAATAAAGAATTCAATAAGTAGTAATCAGAAAAACCACTTTTTTTCAAGAGTATAGGCAAGGGCTATAAACCATAATCAAATCTCAATGTCAGGGCCGGCGCCGCGGCTCACTAGGCTAATCCTCTGCCTTGTGGCGCCGGCACACCGGGTTCTAGTCCCAGTCGGGGCGCCGGATTCTGTCCCTGTTGCCCCTCTTCCAGGCCAGCTCTCTGCTGTGGCCAGGGAGTGCAGTGGAGGATGGCCCAAGTCCTTGGGCCCTGCACCCCATGGGAGACCAGGATAAGTACCTGGCTCCTGCCATCGGATCAGCGCGGTGCGCCGGCCACAGCGGCCATTGGAGAGTGAACAACACCATAAAGGAAGACCTTTCTCTCTGTCTCTCACTGTCCACTCTGCCTGTCAAAAAAAAAAAAAGCAAAAAAAAAAAAAAAAAAAGCAAAACTCAATGTCAGTTTCATTCATATACATTACATTTTTTTGTACTCTGTATATTAGTTACCACAAATCAGGGGAAACATCAGATATTTGTCTTTTGGGAACTTGCTTATTTCACTAAGCATAATAGTCTCCAGTTGCATCCATTTTGTTGTGAAAGACAGGATTTCATTCTCTTTGATAGCTGAGTAGTATTCCATCATGTATATATACTATAATTTCTTTATCCAGCCATTAGTTGATAGACTTCTGGATTGATTCCATATCTTAGCTACTGTGAGTTGAGCTGCTGTAAACACGGGGGTAAAGACAACTCTTTCATATGCTGATTTAATTTCCTTGGGTAAATTCCCAGGAATGGAATGGCGGGGTCATAGAGTTGATCTGGTTTCAGATTTCCATGGAATCTTCATACTATTTTTGACAGTGGTTGCACAGTTTACATTCCCACCAGCACTGTACTGGGGTAACTTTTCTCCCACATATTTGCCAGCATTTGCTATTTGTTGATTGTTTGGATGATAGCCATTCTAACTGGCATGAGGTGAAACCTCATTGTGGTTTGTATTTGCATTTCTCTAATGGCTAGGTATCCTGAGCATCTTTACGTGTGTCTGTTGGCCATTTGTATTTCATCCTTTAAAAACTTTGTTTGTATGCTTAGACCATTCCTTGACTGTTCATTTTGTTGTTGTTGAGTTTCTTGAGCCTCTTGTATTTATTTCCTGGATATTAATCCTTTATCAGTTGTGTAGTTTGCAAATATTTTCTCCCATTCTGTTGGTTGCCTTTTCACTTTGAGTGTTTGCTTTGCAGTGTAGAAGCTTCTTAACTTGATGTAATCCTATTTGTCTATTTTTTCCTTTATTGCCTTGCTCCTGGGGTCCTATCCAAGAAGTCTTTGCCCATGCAAATGTCTTGCAGTGTTTCCCTGATGTTTTCTTTATGTGACGAACTTCCCATGTTCATATGATGTACAATTTAACTTCTCTCTAGGGCCAGCTGAAACCAGCTTTTTAAATGGTGTTTGTAATAAAGAATACTACTTTATTTGGACATTACATCACACAACACTCCGTGGCTCCTCAGAACAACCATTGGCCTTATTTGTCCATCAAAGTAAAGCAGTGGCTCTATGTATCAATGGTGTAGACTCCAGAGTCAGATTGCTTGGTTTCAAATCCTCCATATAACACTTTTATTCTAACCCTGTGCAAGTTACTCAACTTTGTGACATCTTGGATTTTTCAACTGTATAATGAAGGTAATAGAAAGTGTTCCTGCTTTGAGAAGGTTACATGGAATAAAACGTAAAGCATTTGGCAACATGCTTGGCAAATGGCAAACAGCTAATCATTTGTAGACATTATTCTGTGTTTGGTAGTTGTGATTTTTTTTTGTTTTGCTCTACAAGTTATATCACTTTGCAGGTTGCATTGGTTTATATCTTAATGTGCCTTTGTGAATTATAAACTCATTGAAAGCAGTGTATATTGCACGTTGTACAAGATTTTTTTTGAAACTTAATTGTTGGGCACTGTAGATGGCTCCTTGGCAGGAGTCTTCTAACTCTGACATTCCCAAATGGATGAAACTAGCAGGTGAAGGATAGTTACCTACAGCTTTCCAATTGGTCTGGACTCAAGGAAGAGAATCCCTGTTGGCATCTAAATCCCAATCTCAAGAGGAATATTGCCCATCAAAGAATTTTTCCAACTAGCACTTAAGTTGAGGTGTACAAAAACATTTTCCCTGTGCTACCTGAAAATTCTCAATACCCTCAATATCATGAGAAGCCAATAAAATGTTAAGGAACTTAATTTGTTAGGTAATTAGCATCCAAGAGGAGCCTATTCAGCTTTGTCAAATCCAGGTCAATATGAAAAGCCAGAATTTCTTAACACTGACCATGTTTCTCTCTCTGTCCAAATTTCAGAAGAATTCCTCTTCAAAGAGGGAATAGAATGGTGACAGCTGAAAATCACTCAAGGGACATTTAGAAAATACAAACACCCAGGTCTTATTGAGGACCAACTAAATTAGAATGTCAGGAGATGGAGTTAGAGCTCAAGAGCTTACAAAATGACCTCAGGTGAATGCAATGCATAGGAGGTTTGATGATCACTAAAAACAAGATGTGTGCTGAATAAGAATCAACAGGCAGTAGGCAAATCTTCTGAGCCCAGCAGTGTGCAAGATACCCTAGTGGGTACAAAACAACCAAAATTCGCCTCTGACCCTTTAGCCCTGTTTCAGAGAGGACTTGAATCCGGGAAAGCATCAGCAGACAAAGAGCTGCAAGGTGTGGGTGCACATGTGGGTCAGAAGTTAGAGCTGCAGAGATTTAAAGTTTCGATGTCAAGAAAGGCTAAGTTGCAGGAGTTCCATGGCAGAGGAAGACGCTAGCTGAAAGATTTAGAGGAGTAAGTAGGCAATAAAGGCTGCCGGTGGCTTTTTCACATCAACTTAGTGACATGTTTCAGGATTGTGTGAGGTTGCTAGAGACACTCATGCACGAGTAACCTGAATTTTCAACATTGTCCAAAAGCTTTGGGACCACAATTGGTTATATCTGCAGTTTTAATTCCCAGAATAGCCCCTAGAGATAATGCTAAGTTTAAGAAACTGACACTTTGAAAAATGACTGACAGCTTGATAGGAGCATGGCATATCTGTGGGTGCACATTGGACTTGAGAGCAAAGCAGGCAACCTCTGAGAAACATTCAGACCACTGCGAACCTTCTCAGAGAACCAGTACTCCTTGTGCCTTTTGGTTTCTTACCAGATCACATAGCAAGCTGGGCAAAGTTCTAGTGGCCTGATCTTCAGCTGGACAGACTCCAGCCTCTTGCATTGCACACGGCATTAAGATGAGTCCTTGGTTAGACTATTTATAAGTTTTCCTCGGTAACAAACTAGAACCTCATCTCAGCCTAATTTGATGCAGTTTCTTCTCCATTGGTTCTAAGTTCTGCAGAGAAAAAAGGGAAAAGTAAAACATTGGAATTAATGTATATTTTATCTCCTTTCAAGAGTATCTTTTTTTTTTTCCACACACGGTGTTTGTGTTATCTAGATTTTGGTTTCTGAGAATCACACCTTTGTAACACTTTAGTCAAGAGAAACTCATTAACTTTCCCTAATGGAAAAGTTACAGGCATCGCATGCTTATTTGAAGCTAAAGTTTTATTCTAACAGAGGACATTGCACACCATATGCGGGTTGGCTTGCGATCCTTTGCAGGGAGGGGGAGATCTGACTGAACATTGACCCCAATTACTGGCAATTTTTGTGCTTCAGTGCTGCTGTTTCAGAACAAAAAGCAATAGCTAAGCCCGACAGAGAAGGCTTTATAAACTTTCCCAATGAGTCTGTAGCTCATTTCTCTTTTCTTCATGGTCACTGAATTGATTTTTCCTTGTTGCTTGTACATGGTGTTCAATGATTGTGAATTGCCCAGATCAAATGACAATCAGGGATCAGAGAAACACTATGGGACTTGAGGGGAAAATACAAATGCAAATTTTGAAGGCTTCTCTGATGATAACATCCCTTGGCTTTGACTTTCTCACCTGAAGAGAGTGTCACCATTTTTTGATTGCTCTACTAGGTTGTTTACATTTTACCCTATTAGTTGCCACCAGTAAGAGTAAAGTGTAAATTGGTTTAATTTGCTACTTTGCGATATCCCTAAAATATAAATGAAGAAATTTTTTCAGGAATCCTCTGGAATTTACCTTAAAGTTAGGCCATTAGGGGTAGGCAGTGCCATAACAGTTAAGATACAACTTGGGATGCCCATATCCCATATTGGAGTGCCTGGGTTTGAATTCTAGGTTTGAGTCCAGCTTCACTCCCAAATCCTGATTTCAGCTTCCTGCTAGTGCACACATTGGGAGGCAGCATGTGGTGGTTCAAGTTGTTTGGTCCCTGCCATTGGAAATGTGGATCAAATTTCTGTCTCCTGACTTCTACTTGGCTTGGTCCATCGCTGGTTGTTGGCAGGTTTTGAGAGTAAACTAGTGGATGATATTCAGTCTGTTTGTCTGTCTCAACTTTCAAATCAAATAAATAAATGTTTTTAAGAAATCAGGCTTAAAAATTAGAAACTTCACCAGATAAGAGAATAAAACAAGGAAGCAGCAGCCATGGATCTGAGATTCAGAATCAGTGTGTGTTCTAGGAGATCAGGTGCAGCTGAAGAAGGCACAAACTGACTCTAGGAGGTGGGTGTACAGAATAAAATGGAAAGGAGAAACTATCTGACAGGTTATGTTTCTGGAAATTTCTATAGAAATGTTGCTGCTGGGCCAGCGCCGCGGCTCACTAGGCTAATCCTCTGCCTGTGGCGCCGGCACACCGGGTTCTAGTCCCAGTCAGGGCGCCGGATTCTGTCCCGGTTGCTCCTCTTCCAGTCCAGCTCTCTGCTGTGGCCCAGGAAGGCAGTGGAGGATGGCCCAAATACTTGGGCCCTGCACCCGCATGGGAGACCAGGAGAAGCACCTGGCTCCTGGCTTCAGATCAGCGCGGTGCGTCGGCCGCAGCGGCCATTGGAGAGTGAACAACACCATAAAGGAAGACCTTTCTCTCTGTCTCTCTCTCACTGTCCACTCTGCCTGTCAAAAAAAAAAAATGTTGCTGCTGGATGATGTAACAAAAATTGAGAGTAATTACAGAGAAAAACCAAGGGAATTCTTCAAGAGATTCGATACACAACTAGAGAAAAAAAAAAACAAACAAAAAAGACATTCAGGAAAGGAAATAAATTTGTAGTATGTAACATGACCCAGCAGTGACTCGTTTTCACAATAGATAATTGGAAAGTTAAACCCAAGGTTATTTGGAAACATAGACACATTCTAGAAGAAACAGAATATTTGAATGTGGCTGCCTTTGGAAAATGGGGTTAATATTGGTGGGGATGGGGGGAGTAACACTTCTTTTTTAGTATAATCTACTTAGCACTTCGTGACTTTTAAAAATCTGTTCCCGTATAGTTTTGATGAAAATAAAAATTAAATGTTAAAAATATAAGTTGCTATTTCTAGTTCTTCTTAACATAGTCAAATATGGGCATACTTTCCCAACACTGTGGAGCAATCCTCAAGGCATGGTGGCTACTTAAGCACATGGGTTTAGGAAGGCTTTAATGGGTTGAGAAGATTGGAAGAGGAGGCTTAGGGACTTCTGCCTGGAAGGGCTCTGGTCCAATTTTGTTTATAATTGCTTTTGGTTTTGATCCAGCTCTGACAAGTCAAGAGAGACTTTGATCAATCTCAGAGGGTTGATGTCTGTGTGTCCATTTGGAATGCTGTGAGATTCTCTGCTTCATTATTGACTGTTGCCCAAACATCATTCCCTCTTTGAAAAGGTTCCTCTGGGCTGCCTAGGTATGCCTTGAGCTTGTGTTCAGTCCTGCATTTGTCAGAGCATCTTGCTAAATCCAAGGCCTTTGGGTGAACTTGAAAACAGAAGAATGAGAAGGCAGAACATATGTTCAAAAAATGGGCAAGGATTTACTCTGAACTTTTGCCTATGAGCAAAAATGCTCTTTTTCTGAGTTCATTCTTTTTATTTTTTAAAAAGATTTATTTATTTGAAAGTCAGAGTTACTCAGAGAGAATGAAAGGCAGAGAGAAAGAGGTCTTCCATCTGCTTGTTCCCTCCTCAATCAGCCACAAAGACTGGAGCTGCTCTGATTCAAAGTCAGGAACCAGCAGCTTTCTCTGGGTTTTCCCACGTGGGTGCAAGGGCCCAAGGACTTGGGCCAAATTCTGCTTTCCCAGGCCATAGCAGAGAGCTGGATAGGAAGTGGAGCAGCTGGGATTCACACAGGCACCTATATGGGATGCTGGCACTGCAGGCGGCGGCTTTACGCACTATGCCACAGCACTGGCCCCTTCTTAATTCATTCTTTATTAGTTAACAAAATAGTACTCAAGATAGTAAGTACAGGATATAGAATTACTTAACTTTCAAAATCTTGTATCAGCTGGCTCTTGTATCATAACTAGTCATATGCATGCATCGACATTGTGTCATGCCTCAGCCAACATGACAAAAATATTTCTGAATTGGCAATTAGCCACTTGTGTTGAGGCATGCAATTTTTTATTATCTTAAGTATGTGGAATTATTTATACTTGAGTTAACAGCTAAAGGAAAAAGACACTCTAGATTAAGCTCAAAATAAGAAGGAACATGGTATATATTTGAGAAAATAACATTGCTTAAGCATATCCTACATACTAGTTACTTTATATACATTATTTCATTAATTCTCACAAGATTCTGCATTATTATTTTTATTTTTAAGTTAAGATCAAGAGAAGTCAGCTAACTTTTCTAAGGACTCCTAGCTAGTAAATAGTGAAGTTGAATTTTAAGGTTTTGCTATGAACAAAACAAACATAATTTGAGCAGTTTTTATCAATATAAATCCACTTGTTGCAAAATTGTGTGTGAAACTTTTTAAACGTAGAAATTGTGGACTTCCACCTTAGAACTATTAAATAAGAATTTCTGAAAAAAGACACAGAGAATACCCTGTGATTGTCATGTACCCAAGGTCGTAGAACTGCTGCTATAACAAAATTGCAATATTTGCTCCAAATATTATGTAGGGTGCATAGTTATCCTGCCAATGAACTCCTTTGAAATTGGGCATTTGTTATCACCTACTAGTTTTATAATCCCCACAAAATTGGTCAGTAACTGAAAACTGCCTAAAGAATGCCTTAAGATTAAACGTTTAGTCTTGGGTTCCAGAGAACTACCATTTTCTCCTGAGACTAAGTGTTATATCGTAATGTTAGCCGTCGCAAAGCACACCGGATACTGGAGTAAGGGAAAGGTTTTATTGGGGAACACCCTACAGACCAGAGTGAAGGGGTGGCGAAGGAAAAAGAGAGAAGGAGACTGTGAGAGAGAGACAGAGGAGGGAGAAGAGAGAGGAGAGAAGCCAAGAGAGGCCAAGAGAGCTCAGGAGAGAAGGACCCAGAGAGCAGGAGAGAATGGCCAAGAGCCAAGAGCCCAGAGGAGGAGGCTAGAGAGGGGAACTGAGAGAGAGCAGGAGAGAAGGGCCAAGAGAGCATGTGTTCAGGAACAGGCCCTTTTAAAACTTTGCCTGAGGGCGGGCAGGGAAGCAGGAGCAGCGAATCCCATTAGGATGGGGGTGGAGCCTGGCTCAGGTAGCTGGGCCATGCGGCCACCTGGCTACAACTGCACCAGTTTCCTAACATGACAGGCCAGGAAGGATAAGAACTGAAACATTTCCTACACGTGCATCATGACAAAAAAATCAGCAGCTCTCTGCTAAAGGTTTCTTAAGGGTTGATACAAATTGAACTGGTACGTGCAAATTTGTCCACTCACTCTTATGGATCAATGGTTGTATTGTTTCTCTCTCTGTCTCTCTCTCTGTGTATGTGTGTGTACACACAGGTGCACAATTTATGTTTTGTCGCTCCCCCTCTTCGTGGAGGAACGACACAGGACCCTGCGCTGTTCTTTCGTCTGCTCGGCCCTCCCCGGGTTTGCTGCTGGTTCTTCCCGGGTTGGCTACTATCCCTTCCACCTCCGTGGAAGGGCAGTTCCCCCTGGCCGCATTCCCCACTTCCGCAGGGGAGCGGCACACCGCCGACCGGTTCTCTCGGGGGCTGCACGGGTTCCCATAGATGTTCCCCATAGATGTTCCTGGTGCATGCCGTCTCTCTCCTCCTTTATAGTCCTCCTCCGCCAATCCCAACTCGGCTGAGTACGCTGCTCTCCAATCAGGAGCAAGTCCTACAGTTAATTGGTTGAACTGGAGGCAGCTGTGCGGAAGCTGTTTACTTCTCTCCCAGCGCCATATTGTGGGAGAGCAGATGCATAGAATAAGTCCTAATTCGAGTAACTTAGTCTAGTCCGGATTGCTCCCCACAATGTTTTGTTGTTTTTTTTTTTTTAAAAGATTTATTTATTTGAAAGAGTCACCGAGAGAGGTAGAGAGAGAGAGGTCTTCCATCTGCTGGTTCACTCCCCAGATTGCCCCAATAGCTGGAGCTGCGCCAATCAGGAGCCAGGAGCCAGGTGCTTCTCCTGGTCTCCCATGCAGGTGCAGGGGCTCAAGGACTTGGGCCATCTTCCACTGCTATCCCAGGCCACAACAGAGATCTGGATCAGAAGAGGAGCAGCCAGGACTTGAACCTGCACCTGTATGGGATGCTGGTCCTTCAGGCCAGGGCGTTAACCCGCTGCGCCACAGCGCTGGTCCCAGTTTGTCTTGATAACTTTGAGACATAATGTTTCCAAAATCCTGGGAGATGATTGCCAGAAATTTAATGAAAAGATGAATAGAGGTGCACAATAATAAAGTACACTGCAACATTAAGAAAACATAGGCAAGGAGGAGATAAAGAATGAGAGAGTTTATACTGGCTCATTTTTTCCCCTACAAACCTAAATAAATGGGCCATGCCCTAAATAAAATAGAGCAGAAATGACAGAGTGAAAAGACCTGAGGACGTTTTGGTTTTCCTAACAGAAACTTGTTAATGTGGGAGGTATAGATCATGGCACTGGAGTGCTTTTTCTCTCATAATAACTCAGTGCACTTAAAATAGGTATAAGTTCGGGAGTTTAATTTGGGATATTCATTTGGAATTTAGCAAATATTTATTGAGTGGTCTTTATGCTGAAGCCCTCTGAATTTTCAAATCTAAATTCCTACTCAAAAAAATCCAGACACAAGTTCTAACCCCTACTTAGTTGTGAGATTCTAAGCCAGTCTCTCATTACATTTCTAGTTAGCATCTTCCTACTTGTGAGACACTTGTTATTTTGCTGATAAAATAAAATGCTCATGCTCTGAGTGCAACTGGATAAGGATGCAAATGTTTTACCATTTTTTCTTATCACCCTGAGGTAGCGTCTTCTGTGTGTGCTGCTGTATGCTGCACGTAAATATGCTCTGTGAATTTAGAGTGTGCAGTGTTATAAGTTTTGACGTATGACACATGTCCACATGTCCAATATGATCTATGAATCTATCACCACAGTAGAAATAATGAAAATGTACAGCATGCTCATAAGATCCGTTGTGCTCTTGTCATTCCTTCCTTCCCCCCTTGCACACAGCACCTTGCCCATCCACCCACCTGATTGTTTCCAGGCAACTATTGATCCACTTTCTGTCATGATACGTTAGTTTCCATTTCCTGGCATTTTATATAAATAGAATTATAGAGTATGTATTCTCTTTCCTTTTCTGGTTTCTTTCGAAATGAACAATTATTCTGAGATTCATCCATGTGGCACATATCAAGTTCTTTCCTCTTAATGATAAATAGTATTTTTCCATTGTATGGAGGTAACACAATGTGTTCAGACGTTCATCTGTTGATGGATGTTAGGGATGATTTCTGTTGGGAGCTGTTAGAAATATAGCTGATATGAACCTTTATATACTAGCAAGCAAGTCTTTGCATGGACATATGCTGGCATCTCTTGTGTGAACATCAATACTTTCTATGTAGGAAAAGACCTTTATGTCACACTTTTTGAGGCATATATTTTCATTTTCATAGGGCACGCATTTCTAGACAATTTCCTTTCAGTACTTTAAAAATGTTGCTTGTGTTTCCACTTAAATGGTTTTTGGCAAAAAAAATTACTATTATGTTTATTCTTGTTCCTCTGAATCTATTGTAATATTTTCTTTGGATGTTTTTAAAATTTTTCATTATCAATGGTTTTTGGCAATTTGGTTATGATGTGCCTTGGTGTATAGTATTCTTTACATTACTTGTGCTTGGTGGTTTTAGCTTCCTCAAAGTTTATAGTTTTCATTAATTTGAAAATTTTCTTTACATTTTTCCCCCAACTATTATTTTGCAATTCCCACCTGCCTTTGAACATTCTCATTAAGTCATTTGAAGTTGCCACACAGTTTACTTATCCTTTGTTTGCTTTTTATGGTTTAATCTTTGTCTCTTCTGTATAGAGTAGTCTTTAAGTTCAGTAAACTTCTGTATTTAATCTGTCATTAATTCCATCAATGTCTTTTTTTTTAAACCTAGCTATTATCTCTAGGGTGTATTTTTTTGGTTCTTGCCTTTTGAAGTTTTATATGAAACTTTTTTTTTTTTTTTGACAGGCAGAGTTAGACAGTGAAAGAGAGAGACAGAGAGAAAGGTCTTCCTTTACCTTTGGTTTACCCTCCAATGGCCGCTACGGCTGGCGTGCTGCACCGATCTGAAGCCAGGAGCCAGGTGCTTCCCTCCTGGTCTCCCATGCGGGTGCAGGAGCCCAAGCACTTGGGCCATCCTCCACTGCACTCCCGGGCCACAGCAGAGAGCTGGACTGGAAGAGGAGCAACCGGGACAGAATCCGGAGCCCCAACCGGGACTAGAACCCAGGGTGCTGGTGTCGCAGGCAGAAGATTAGCCAAGTGAGCCGTGGCGCCGGCCTATATGAAACATTTTAGAAGCTGTCTTTATCTTTGTATTTAGCATGTTCAATGTTTTGTCCATCTTTTTGGACATATGAAATACAGCTGTAATTATTTATTAATATCTCATCAGCTAATTCTAACAGGTCTTTCAGTTCTGTACTAGTTTTACAGAAATGACTTTTCTCATCATCATAGATATTTCCTGCTTCTTTGCATGCCTAGTAATTTTTGATTGGATACAAGATATTGTGTGTTTTACCTTGTTAGGTGCTATATATTTTTGTTTTCTAGTAACTGATTTGAGCTCTGTTTTGGGACCCAGTTAAATAATATGAAAATTTAATTGTTTCGCTGTTTTATTTTCAGATTTTTCAAACCTGAGCTGTGTTATTTGTTTTATACCTAATTATCCCCCACTCCTGAAGCAAAGCTCTTCTGTGTAAATGCTCTGTAAACTGGCTCGTGAATTATGAAGTTTCCTCTCTGGCAGGAGATTGGGTACTATTCAGGCCTTGTGTGGTATTTGGGTACTCTTGGCACTAATGGGATTGAATGTTTCCTTCTCTAGCCTTAGAAAGCTTCTGCCCATATATGCCCTGATCATTATTTGTCTCAACATTTGAGAAGGATACTCTGCTAACTTCTAGAGTATTCTTTTTAATGCCCACTCCTCTCAGGGACTCTGCCCTCAAACTCGAAATACCTTGGCTTCCCCAAACTCAAGTTCATCTCCTCAACTCAAGGGTTTATCTGGGCTCTGCCATGTCTCCCCTTGCTGTACCATGGCTGAGAAACTTCCTTAAGGCAATGAATTTTGATAGCCACAGAATTCCAAGTTTGCCATGTCTTTGGGGTCATTGTCCTTCACTACCTGTTATCTACTACCTTAAAAGTAATTTCTTCATTTTTTAGTTATTTCAAGTAGGATGATAAATTCAACTCCTGTTACTCTTCCTAGCCAGAACAAAAACTTCTCTACTTTTTAAAAGAGTAATCCAACAACATTAAATAATAGAGTAAGAGAGCAGAAATAATGGGATGGGGGTTGGGTTACAGTATTTTGGGGAAAGCAATAACCTTGAGTCTGAATGAACAAATGTTCATATAAGTAAAAGAAGTTATTACAATACAGAATTTTAAAATGTATCTTGTATAAAGGCTCAAGTAGCTTCCAGATTGCAAATTTCTTCTCAATGCTATTATTTTCATATAATCTCAATGTAAAATATAAGAGCAAAAATATCCTTCTAGTCATAAAACTGTAGTTCTACGTCATGTGACTGTTTCCCCTGCCCCAGTGTAGCGGTGCTGATCTGCTTATTATGCTTCAGGCAACTTGAGCCACTGGGGACACTGTGGGTGACAATGAGACTGAATGCCTTCATGTGAGACCCAAGTCACATCTTTTATGGATGACTCAAGTGATCAGTGCTATTGATGAATTTTAAATAGAACAATCATTCTGATTCTTATGCTGAAGTCTGACTCACTAAGACAGCAAGAATATTTCATCCAGAGAACCCACAACACATCTCAGAATTCAGATATTCTCAAGAGAAAAATCTGAAAATTTTCCATGTAGTATCATGAGACCTATATGACTCTTTATTCTTCTGCAATGTTCTATGGAAGATGGAAAGAGGATAGGGTACCAGATAATAATATCTGAGGGATGAAAATCAAGTTTTGAATTGTATAGTTGGCCTTTGTATTCTCTATCTTCTATATTTCTTTTTTTAAAAGGTTTATTTGTTTGTTTAAAAGGCAGAGTTGCAGAGAGGGAGAGAGCGAGAGAGAGCAAGAGAGAGCGAGAGAGGTCTTCCATCCGCTGGTTCATTCCCCAGATGACCACAACTACCAGAGCTGCACCAATCTGAAGCCAGGAGCTTCTTCCAGTTCTCCCACAGGTACATGGGTGCAAGCACTTGGTCCATCTTGTACTACTTTCCCAGGCTATAGCAGAGAGCTGGATTGGAAGTGGAGCAGTCAGGGCTCGAACTGGTACCCTATGGGATGCTGACATTGCAGGCGACAGCTTTACCCGCTATGTCACAGCGCTGGCCCCTATCTTCTATATTTCATTTTCTTGTCCCTTCAATAAATTCCTTTGTTAAACTTTAACTACATATTCATATTGTGGTGCCTCAGATTATTTTGGAAAAGAAAGGGCAGTAACACATCTACACACGTAAATGGCAATCCGAGGGGTTACAGCAAGTGGCTAACCTGCTTGCAGGACAGATAAGTAATGTCTTCAGCAAGTAGAGACTGAGTCACAGTGTGGCACTGTGCTGAAGCTGGAAAGAGCTCAGCGATTGCCTAGTTCAGGGATGACAGGAATGTGACAGAAGGACCCTAATTCTTCTTCTCTGTGGTTATGACTAATTTATCACAAAACATCGTATTGCATCCAGATTCATCATCTCAATGTAGTACTCCAGGCAACCACTACTAATTGTCAAAAGTAGGATGGTAAAATGAGTCCTATTAGCTGTGCATTCTCTTAATTTTACAGATATGGTAAGTGAGGCCTCCAATCATCTGCAGTGCTGGGATTGGAACCAGGCCCTAACTCCAGGTCTCTAACTCTAAGCACAGCCATTCCAAAACGTCTCTGTAGTCCTAAAGGGTTAAACAGTTTGGCCTGACGCAGGATGACAGAACAGGTCAGGAAAGAAAATTAATCGTCTTTCATCCTGTTCTGCTTATTGCCAGACTGAGCTGAAGTATGAAATGGAAAATTTTACATCAAGAAAGAAAATACTTTTTAGCTGACTTAGACAACCAACCCTGTCGGTCAAGCAACCCAGAAAAAAAAGGCTACCATGAATTTTATTTGTTGTTTACTGCTTTTTGCCTACTAAGCTTTACACACAGCTTAGGGGAAGAGTATCCATATAAAAGTGCTTCAGAATCACTGGAAGTCTCTAACTCTTCTGAACACCCTTATATCAGTTTCTTGATATCTGAACTTTTTTTTAGGAGAAATAGCCTGTGAGTACCTACTGATTGATGAGACCAAAAAATAAATTCCTATGGAGACAAGAAGCCTACTGGCTAGACTGTCAGTAAGTCTCAACAGATTATTCTCTAGGGTGGTTTCTGAAGAAGAGAACAAAAAAGAAAATATATTGGCAGGGAGAGGATAGGAAAGAGAAGATTGAGACAACAAAGGGTAATTATTTTTAAAACAACATTGAAGATAAATTAGAGTTAAGCTAGTTACCCAACATTTCAAGACAGAATATTAAGGTCTCAATAGGGTAGGAATATCAAAGTTAAGGAGCCCATCTTGTAGGGAGCCATTTCTATTACTTGGTACAGACAAACTCTCAACACTTAATTATTTACTTCGCTATTTGCATACTTTAAAAGTCACCTATTTTTGAAGAGTGTGCAGCTCCATGAGTTGTAGCCCACACCTAGATTCATGTGTCGTCATCGCAATCAAGATAAAGGCAGTTCCACAGTCCCCCAGATTTCTTTGTGTTGCTTATAATCGCATCCTTGATGGAACCTGATAACAATAATTCGGGGTTCTCTTGTTATGTGTTTAAACTGAGGTCTTTTGTGTGTAATAGTATGTCTAGCAAATATCACACACAAAAATGCTGATCATTAATCATTTGGAAAATGGAAGCAAACCTCCTTTAAAACTCTCATGAGGCTTCTTCTAAAGAGTTGAAAAGGAAATCTTTCTTTCTGGGAGGTAAATAGTGCAGTAATGTTGGAAGTAAGATTCTCAGCTAGATGTGGTCTATGGATGGTGGAAGCAAAAAGGAGATGCAATAAAGATTCTGGAAGAATGCCTGATCTAAAAATAAGAAAACACACTCCACAGTGTTCTGAAAGTCACTTGCTGAGTATCTCTAATCTGCTGCTGGAAGTCAGGTGTAGAATTGATTTTCCAATAATGGATTTTTGACAGTTGTTTAAAAAAAGGTATTATATTTGCAGTTGCAAAGTGTAATTTTTTTTGTGCTGTCTGGAAATTCAATGGTCCCTTCACTGTAGGAAACAATATGTTACATACAGATAAATAGAAGGAAACTGAATTATGGGGCATCAGTCCCACCAAAGGTTCCCATAAAATTGAGAGGGCCACTTCAGTGGTTTGTATAAGTGCCAGAAACTTGCAGGGAAATTATAGCCATAGATGGAAGATCCTGCCGAAAGAGCTTGCCCCCTGCAAGCTATCGACCCCATGAGGTACAGGAGCCACTGTTCTCTTGGCCCTGTCTGGTTTCCCCTCAGTTCTTTGCAACTGTGAACCATTCCCTCCCACTTGCTTTTTCATGAACCTCAATAACTCCCATGTGCAGGCCTCCCAATCTCTGGTTCTTTTTTGTTCTTCTCGTCTGTCCTCCAAGTCTTACCAGATCTCAACTTCAGGCTTCTAGCCAGGGATGATTCCCAGTCTTTCATCCCAGCAGGCTTTAGGAATGCAGGAACCATTTTTTTCTCTGTTTGGCCTCTTATGGCTTTCACAGAATTCCTCCAATTTTGCCTTCCTACTCCACTGATGTTTTTCATCCATTTGTCAGCCTGGAGAACACATTTTTCTGCGCTGAGCTTTGGCAGCAGTGTTAGCTGAACTCCACAGTTCATAGCTGAGACCTGCTTGAGTTCCTTTTCTTTCGCCTCCCAGATTGCAGTGAATTTTCAATTTCTTTCCACCTAACTTATTTCATACTTTCTCAGTTTTCTTCGACCACCTATGTGCCGATATCCATGGTGGGTTATTTATTTAAAGCCATTTAAGTCCGATCCTAAATAGAATGTCCCACTGTTCAATGAATGATTAGTGCAATAAAATGCTTCTATGGAACATTGCATGAGGAAGGTACTTCGGAGTCAATTATTTTGATCCATTCATTCTGGAAATAAGAGATAATATTCTTTGAGAGGAAAGATGGCCTGTGAGAAGTTATGATAAAAGCTTTGCACTTCAGGCACACACACATTCTGGTTCTTATTCTGTTGATGATTCATGATAGGACCTTGGAAAAGCCATTTAGAAGTGTGTTCATCTGTTAAGTGTGAATGAACTGCTTCTCGGGTTTGAGATGAGAAAGAAATTGTTAAATTACTTTCCTAACACATTGTGCTTTGTAGCCCCTTCGTTGTCAGGGACCTGAGCCAAGATATAGGGAAAGGTTTTCTGAAATAATGTCCGACATCCCTCACAGATGAATCAACTTTTCCAGCCAATGGAACTCACACGTGGAAGCTGAAAACAAATTTTTAGTTAAATCTCAACTAAGTGTGTTTGTTTAAGGCAGTGGAACTTACTTGTGGAAAATTGGTGGGAGCTTGAGGGAGGACTCTTGAGTGTACCTTGTGATATTACAAAGTTTAGTGATATAACTTGGAGTCTATAAGGTCAAAAGAATTTAAGGATATCTCCCCTTTTACCACTAAGTGGCACTGTAATGAATGAACCAATGATTCAACACCTATTTTGCCTATAGATTCTAAGCTCCATCAGAGCAGAGATAGTACCTTGTATTTAATATGACAGGGAAAATGAAATTAAGTTTACATCTTGGATGTTTATATTTTATCAACAGAAGCTTCACGAAGTTCAGGACATTTCTGCAAGTGAGATCAGCCATTGAATCCATCCCTATAGAATTGAGACTCCTGAAAATTTAACCATGTCAGTGCCGTCTTTTTGACTGAAGAAAATGTGCCTTTTTAAGCTTTCTTAAGATCAGAAACATAAAATCAGAAGTAGCCAAATCAAAAACTGTAAGGTGAATGCTTTATAATTTCTTGTTGAAACTCACAAAATCACCCTTGTTGAATGAGAGAAAGAGTAGGAGCATTGTTATGGTGGATAGAAACTCTGGTGGAATTTCTCATTTTTCTGCTTAGGCTTTGCCTAACTTTACCAAAATACCCTCCTAGTAAGCTTATGCTACAGTTTCTGGCCTTTTGGAAAACAAACAAGCAAAATGAATGAACATCCCAAAAACCTGTTTCTGAGAAATTTCCTTTTGACTGGTCTGCTTTTGCTTTGACTGAAGCACTTTTCACATTTTGATAGTCATTGCTTTTTTTTCCCCCAAGATGATACCAGTAATCCCATGTTTCGTTTCCCATTACAGTTCTTCAAAGAAATTCTTCAGGGTCTTGATCTCACTTAACAACTTCCTCTGGAAGTTCTGCTCTTGCCTGGAGTTGATCTAGGTGCAGCAGTTAATGGCATTCATCGAGTACAAAGTTTGCTCCACTTTAATCTCCCAGTCAGAATTGTGTAAGCTGACCCAGCTGAGATGTCCGTGGTGTTTGGGAAGCGGTTCTGTTATTAATTGCCAGTTTTCAATTAGGGCATGAACAAGATTAATTTTTTTTCTCACAAGTTGGTGTGGATGGGCTGCCACTGTGAACCTCATCTTCAGTGTCATCTTGTCCCTTCTTAAAATGAATTACTGAAGTGGGTGTTTGGTGCAGTGGGTAAGACACTGCTTGGGGTATCCATGTGCCATACAAGAGTGTCTATTCAAGTCTTGGCTCTTGCACTCCTCATTGTTTCCTACTATTGTGCACCCTGGGAGGCAGCAGATGACAAATTTTTGGTCCCTGCTTCCAACATGGGAGATTTGGATTGAGTTCTGGGCTCCTGGCTTTGGTCTACCCTAGCCTGCCTCAACAGGCATTTGGGGAATGAACCAGGATTTCTTTTTTTCTGTTTCTGTGCCTTTCAAATAGAATGAATGAATGAATGAATAACTCAAGCATAAGACACAAAACAAAACAAAAAAACGAGTTACCCATTTGTAAACTTGATTTCTTTGGGGCATTGTCACCACACACTTGTAATACTGCATGAATGGTTTCACCATTCTTCCGCTGAAGCTTCAACACAAGTTGGATGTCTATTCTTGCTTCGACTGTAGCATAACTCATGGAGCTCTGATACAGGCTGTTTTCAAACTGAAACTTCTTGTACCTCAAACTGGATCCTGTTCAGACAGGTTTTGACAAGTTAGTACAAGTATATTTGGTGAAATCCTTAGATAGTTTTCCCATACATATTTTTTGGTGAACTTTTTGAAGATTCCACATTAAATACTTGTTTAATGACTAATTAAGTGAATAAGTGGTTTTTTCATTAAACATTCAAAATATGGCTTCAATATGAAACTGATGTGAGGATTTTGTTGTTCTAGGTATTCCAAAAAAGGAATTAAATAATCTGTCCCTCTTGTCCTGTGTTGGCACGGCTGACAACTTTGATTCGGTGTATACATGCACATAAAGATTTTAGAGGGGGTTGTTTTCATTTTTAGTGTGATAGATTTGTGATATAGAAGTCTTTTAAGTGAATTTATTTACCAAATTACACGTTGGACTTGAAGTAAAATACATAAGACTAAATACTAATCTTTAATTAAATTAAAGATCTGAATTGAGATAGTTTCACAGAATTTTATCATAAGTAAAATAAGCCAGTTCTCTCCAAATTGGCTTCTGTTAAATATTGACCCCATACTCAGCCTGTATGTAGAAGGATGTAATTTTTTCCAGTATGCACCTGACAGTGTACAATCGCAATAGCCTCTTTCTACCCCAGAATTTGGTGGTTCTCATGCTGCTGGAACTACGTAAGATTCCAACGATAGTTGTTAAGTTCCCTGTGGACAAAGCTCTGGCTCTACTAGAGGGGGCCCATTAGGCTGGAGGATCAGAGCTAGACTTGTTTTGATGTTATTGCTACAGTAGTCACTGACTTGGCAGCTCAGGGAGTAACCTTTTCAGTGGTAATCTGTAATGTCAATCCCATATCAAAGCAAAATCCTCACTTTGTTGTGTACTGATCTCCAGGATACTCTCACCTGGCTCAAATGCCTTCATCAGGTGGCTTGGTTTTTCCCTCTGCAAACCCTCATCCCTTTCATCTCCATAATAACTTTTGATAACTCTTCCAGCTCTCCAGTCTGATTTATATAAATTATAACCTCCAATTTAGAGATCAAAAACACTCAAAACTGCTTATTTCCTGACCTCAAAACTCTAGTATGTGAGGAACTGATGTTCCTGTTGAGATGGAAAGAATGAGTAAAATTAGAAAGGTAAAAAAAATGGGGAAAATGATCCTTTTGATCACTGAGACGAATAGCATTTCTGAAGGACTGGGAGTGAGTGAAAGAACTGGAGACATTCAGAATGGCAGGGTAAAAGGTGAAAAAGTAGGGGCAAGGTAAGAAGAATAGAGATAGGCAGTTTGAGGCTTTAGGAGCCTTGGCAGCCATATTGAGGAGTTTGGACTTTATCTCAAAGCTATCAAAGGGTTTCTCAGGAGGACTGTACCAACCTGAAACTATCTTACTCTATGGGAATTAGTGTGACAGCATTTTGCCTGAGTGTGAATGGGTAAGAGACACTGTCACCTCTTTCATCTCCCAATCTCCCACCCTTTCCTTTCAATGACTAAAGAATGCCTTCTCAAACAAAAAGGGAGAGACAGTATTTTCTTTATGTTTAAATTTAGTTCCATGCTATAAATTTCTACCGATATCCAGGGACATGAACTGCTTTCTTTTAAGAAGATCCTACAAAAGGGCAAGCTAATGTTTTCTCCAGACTTGTGTTTTTGGTATGCTGTTAGTACCAACAGTCCCTATGGTTACACACTGTGTTCCCCAGAGCACTTCCTTCTAGCTAGCAGAAGTAGAAGGAAAAGAATGGAGGAGATGGCAGGGAAAGGCCCAGGAAGCAGTCTTGTTGGGAAAAATAATGGGGTCAAGAATAATGGATGAAAGAATGGCGTGTGAGACAGACAGGCAAAGCCAGGAGGAATAAAAATGTGCTAAAAAGGACTCAAAAGGTTGGGGGAAGAATCTATCAAAGAACATGGAAGACAAAAAGTAATATGAAGATAGTCAAAATAAATTTTGTTTTTCTTTCCTGAAGTGCTCTGCAGAGCAGAAAGAAAATTTAGCTGTGAACTTAAGGCATTTAGAGTTATTTTAATGCTCCAGTTTTTGGCACCAAGATTTGGCTGTCAAATCTATATGATGACATGGATTTCCCCACATCCCAACCCTCAGAAAGATGGTTCTTCAGCTTTTTGGAACATGAGATTTTTTTTTTTAAGAATCTGTTAAGAGCTGAGGGTCCTTATTGCTAGGGGAAAATGTGCTTTTATACAAGATGGTGCACGTATAATTTTAATGGTTTATGGATATAGGCACACAAAAGCCTATTTGTAGACTCGAGTATTCTCTGATGAAGACTGGAATAAAATATTTTACCCTCAGTTGACTGAAGGGCTCGCTGACAAGAAATCATTCTTTGTAGAAAAGAGTCATGACATACTGAAATGGTGAGCATTGGGAAGGATAGAGTTTGGACTTCATTCTATACTCAAAGAAAATATTAAAGCCTTCACTCTGTTTATGTTATAATACAAATTAGATAGAACAGGGCTGTCAGATCGACTTGACAACCCCTGCTTACGCATTTTCTCCAAGGGCCCAAGTGATGTAAGGGAAAGTGAAAATTGTAGCTGTCAGCTGATTTACTTTATGTAAGTTACTTGCCTGGTCAGAAGCAAGGTGTCTTAGAGACCACAGGGCACAGAGGGTGGAGGCAGCGGGAGGCAGGGCAGAGAGAGCACAAGTGAAGGACTGGGAATTGGGGAGAGATTCAGACATCTGCATGTGATGAATAAGTGATGAACACGGGACATATAGACAGAATCATGAAAGAGCACAAACACATACTTGACTTGGTATAAGGGTTCTGTATGGCATAAATCTTGAAGCTCAAGAGCAAAATTAAAAAAAAAACAGATTGCTAAACACAGTGTGGACTCCAAGTAGATTCTACAATAAAGTTCACTCATGAAAAATCTGAGGAAATCTGAATAAAGTTTATGGGTTAGTGTATCATATAAACTCAGTATTCACTTCTTTACCTTCATAAATGTTGCGTGGCTGACTAGGGGAAACTGGGTAAAGAATATATTGGAAATCTCTGTTCTATCTTTGAAATTCTTCTGTAAATCTAAAATTATTTCAAAATAAAAAGATAATTAAAAAACAATCCTGAACAGAAAAAAATAAAACAAATCTTAAAGATCAAATATGATTTTATAAAAATAAGTGCTGATCCATCCTACTTTGAGAGAAAGATTCTGATTCCTGATTCCTTAGTAGCTTACCTTGGCATTTCATCCCTGTTGTCCTAGTCCTACTTTGGTCCCTTTAATAAGGTCTAATTTTACTCCTGAGGACAGGAGAAGGCCTTATTGATCTTGTTTTTGTCTTTCATAGTCTTGATTTTAGCACTTCTATTTCCTGAAGCAAATAGTCCTCTTTAATCTTTCTCATCAATGAAATTAATCCAGCAATTAATAATTTCTTTTCAAACTTGCTTCAAAATTTCAGTCCCCTCTAAGATCCTGTCTATGTACACTCAATTTAATGGGCTAGAAACACATTTGTGTTTACTATTAAATATATGCCTTAGTGTGTGAACAGTAAGTAGACAAAGGAAATACTGCTTTTCCAATGTTTAAGGAATTACATTGGCTGGCCTAATAAAAACAGATTCATTGAACATTTTAATGCAATCAAATACAACAAATGTGTGTTGAAAGCCTTTTATGGATCACATCATTGGGACACAAAGCTAAATTAACTCCATGACTTTAAGGAGATTCTATTCTAGAGAAGACATAAGCAGGTAAAGAGGTAATTTCAGTGTGGAGGTGCTATTAGAAAAGTATATAGGGAGTCTTAAGGATTGTACCAGAACAGCACTGGGACTATGGCCAAGTACACATTTAATCATTCTTTTGTCCAGTGTGAAACACGTATAAAACAGGCTGAAATGGTGCTTTCTCGTGGCTTTTCTTTTTAACAGATGCTTTCTCCCTACAGACAAAGGACCTTTAAATTGTTCTACTCTAGACACAGTGCATCTCTGCCATGACATTTTCTGTGAAACATTGTTGCATTTTTGTCTAACGTGTTATTTTCCCAATGACTATTTATCATCTTCTCTATGTTTGTCTAATGAACAAAAAGTGTGAGACAACGAAATAAACCTCAGCAAAACAATGAAAAGCCAACCATGCACCATCGATTTAGCAGGGGAGAAAAGAAATAAATAAAAAGAGCATAGAGACTCAGTTGCTTTTGAATACCAGGAAACAGCATCTGTGTTTCTCAACAAGTTAATAGCACCAACTGTGTCAGCTAGTTGGAACCACTTCAGGGGAGAAAAAAAAGCCAGCCAGGTTTTTAATACAAGAAAAAAAAAAAGAAAAAGCTCTTCAGCTATGTTGTGGTGATCCAATATGACAGTCAATCAAGAAGCTAACAAAGCAGCTGTAATGAGATTCTGCATGTACTACACACAATAATTTTTCTTAACACTACCACTAATTCAACCAAAGGAAATATTTTAATATCTAGAACTACTCATGTCTTAGCCTGGGCTGCCCTCACCAAATGCCATAGATGTGTGTGTGTGTGTGTGTGTTTGTATGTGAGAGAGAGAGAGAGAGAAAGTGAAAAACTACAAAGATTTATTTCTCACAGTTCTGATAATTTGCACATAAAAACAATGTAAAAAACAAAAACAATATAAAACCCTGGGTTAACAAGTTAGTTCCTCGATACACATCTTCTAGTAGCAGTGTCAACTACAGCATTTCTAGAGATGTATATGCCTTAGGCATACCTTCCTGATTGTCAAAATGAATCGAGTATCTCAGGAAACCAGCGACTCACACATGATAGGAAATAATGTAGCAATTGGATTAGGGCTGGAAAAAAGGTAGCGAATGCAAAGAAGCTGCTAGTAAATGAATAACCTTCAGGAGAAAGTATTTTAAAATCTCAGAAATAGCAGCTTACTAAACTTATATTTGAATTTAAAAAGTAAGAATAGGTTGATGACTGTCTGAAGGTAAATTTGGAAGCACATTTAAAGGTTTATTAACAGCAGATACAAGACTGTGGAGCGTGTTTCCCCAATTCTGTCCACAATGTGTAGAGTTGCTGAAGATAGAACATTTTAACCTCTCAGGCATAAGCCTCAACATTCATTCTGTGAAATGGTACTAAGAACTATTTTTCCATAGCTTATCAAATGAAGACTTGATAATATGATACATTGATAAAGAATTATTTTTATTGGGGAAAGGAAATTAGCACAAACACAAATTCAGTTCATACATTTGGACAATACACATAGCATCATTGGTCAATATATTCCTTGGTTGTAAAACAAGAATGCTAAACTAAAATGTTTTTGCAATAAATGGATGCAACTGGAGAACATTATCTGTAGTGAAATAACCCAGACCCAAAAAGACAAATGTTTTCTCTGATTTGTGGAAGATAATATATAGAATAAAAGTTTAATGTATATGAGTGGAATTGATGTCTTGGGATTTGATTAATGTTTATAGTCCTTGTCTGTATTTCTGCTGAACAGTGGTTGGTCTACATTTTACTGGTTGAACTCTTTATTTAGTGAAACATTAAGCCTGTGACTATAAAGTGAATTAGAAATATGTTATCACAAAAATTAAAATAGGAAGGGAAGGAAGGTGACAGGAGAGATGTATCATTATATCCTTGGAATTGTATCTGTTAACTGCATCAAATCTGTTCTCTTTATATTAATAGAAATTTTAAAAATGACCTCTGAGACCCTTATGAATTTTGAGATTCCATTTTTTATGTAATCAAACTTACAGGTTTAAAGACTTGAGAGAATCTTTCTCTTAGCAAATACCTACACGTTTAGAGTGTTTTCTATCATTCTAACTTGGAAACATCTTATTTTGCATATTTTTTATTTTTTATAAGGTAATTTCTTCCATTGGAGACATTTTATTCTCTCACTGTACCCTGTGAAGATTTTAGTGTGTATTTTTCTTTTTTTTTTTTTTGACAGGTAGAGATATGAACAGTGAGAGAGAGAGACAGAAAAGTCTTCCTTCCGTTGGTTCACTCCCCAAATGGCCACTACAGCCAGCGCTGCACCAATCCAAAGCCAGGAACCGGGTGTTTCCTCCTGGTCTGCCATGCGGGTGCAGGGCCCAAGGACTTGGGTCATCCTCCACTGCCTTCCCTGGCAGAGGAGCAATCGGAACCAGAACCTGGTGCCCATATGGGATGCTGGCACCACAGGCAGAGGATTAACCAAGTGAGCCATGGCACCGGCCCACAGTCTGTATTTTTCAAATGAGGAAACTGAAAGGAAAAAAGACTTGTTTATGGTTACACCACTAATAAATGACAGAGCCTCAGAGCCACCCTTATGAGTAATCCAGTATCATTTCTGCTCTGCTAGTCTGATAGGTCTTTCTACCCTTCAGTCCACATGGATATCATTTTTGAATAGAAAATGAAAAACTACTCTTCAACCAGTTACATTATTCCACACGTATTTATTGAATACTTCTCACACACATGTGCTGATCTTTGGTGTTGTATTAAGTTAATCAGAGTTCCTACAAAATTCCTCTGTTATAAAGCAAGCATGAATCTATACATGGGCATGTAAAAATGAAATTTCTACTATTTCTTCTACTAAAGTTTATAATAGCTTTCACTCACTCGTGTCGTTCATTTCTATTCTTCCTAATTTCTACTCCTTCCGTATGCCACGAGACAGAAGATGCCTTCTTTGACTTTACTTAGCTTACCTACATGGTAAGAGATAAATATAAAAATGGAAGTTGAAGTATTATTCTTGTACATTTATTTTCTGTATGTGGCTTCTCGGTCCTGATAAATGGAACCTAAGCTACTTGGCGCTGTTAGGCTAATTATGGAATTATAATGATCGAAGTCAGGCAAAACAATGAAGCATGAAGTCTTGCTTGCATTATCAGTTACCCAATAAGGAGTTATACTAACGGTAGATAAGATACAAGTCAGGATGAATAGATCTATTTTACAAATACAAATATTTCACTAGAGATTCCATAATACAGCACTGTCTTACTGTGAGAGAAAGATCACCTAAGTTTTGCACGTGAAACCAATGGGAGCAGAACACGCAGTGTTTCAGTGTAATTACTGCACCATATTTCTGTTCTTTGAACCAACAGGATCTGGAAATTGTTTAGAAAAAGAGGTCCTGGCCGGTGCCGCAGCTCACTGGCTAATCCTCTGCCTTGCGGCGCCGGCACACCGGGTTCTAGTCCCAGTCAGGGCGCCGGATTCTGTCCCAGTTGCCCCTCTTCCAGGCCAGCTCTCTGCTGTGGCCAGAGAGTGCAGTGGAGGATGGCCCAAGTGCTTGGGCCCTGCACCCCATGGGAGACCAGGATAAATACCTGGCTCCTGCCATCAGATTAGCGCCGTGCGCCAGCTGCAGCACGCCGGCCGCGGCGGCCATTGGAGGGTGAACCACCGGCAAAGGAAGACCTTTCTCTCTGTCTCTCTCTCTCTCTCACTGTCCACTCTGCCTGTCAAAAAAAAAAAAAAAAAAAGTCCTAAGTGATATTTCTTGTTGGTAATAGATAATTGAAAATACAAAGAATTTGAGTGAAGTGTATAGCTTGGTGGTTAAGGGTGCTTTCTGGGGAGATACATGACATTCAAAGCAATGGGCTCGGGAGACAGTTGGATTTGAAAGTGAAAGACTGAAATCCAGACTTAAAATTAGCCACCTGGAGAGACTACTATCTAGAGCAAGACTAGACTGTGGCTGAAGGGCTGGAAGGAAGGGAGAGCCTGCACTTGAGATAGGGCTCCTCAATGAGGCTACATAGTTAAGAACTCTAATACCTCCCTCAATGAATCACTTACTGAAATTGATTAATGAGAGCCACATTCTGTTCAAGTATCTCCACAAATATAAGCCAAGCTTCCTGGCAGATTTACTTCCAAATCATTCAGGGAAGACGATTATATTCCTAGTTACATTAACCTGGAAACTCAAGTTGGAGGAGTAGGCCAAAGGGAGACTGTGGTCAGAAAATATATATATATATATTTTTTTTTTTTTGACAGGCAGAGTGGACAGTGAGAGAGAGAGACAGAGAGAAAGGTCTTCCTTTGCCGTTGGTT